AACGATATCAAGCCACTTTTTCTTATTAGCAAGCTCCATAGCAGTAGCTGTATACTTCTTTGAAGTATTTCTCTTTCTAAGAGCAAATTGCTTCTTCTCTTCGTCTAAAATCTTCTGCTTTAGAGCAATGCTTTCAGATAACATCTGTATTTAGCTCTGACAATCTTCTGAGATGTATTTCTTCTCTTTATCATTCTTGACCCGTTCCAAAATGATCAGCTGCTTAAAATCAGATATTCGCTTTAAAAGCATTTTTGCATTCAGCTCAAGAGAGTTTATCTTATTCTAATAAGATATGCGTTCAGCTCCAAACCTTTTCTCTAATTCACAATTCTCTTCTTCTCTTTTTCAAACTTCTTTCTCTCAACATCCATATTATTCTCAACTTTTATAACCTTCTCTTTCTCTTCATTCAATAATTTCCTTAACTCTTCTAGATCACTATTAGACTTATGAAAATTTTCAGTTAAGTCCACTTTCTCTGTATTAACTTTCTCAGAACAATTCTTCACATTTTGCAAATCTTGAAGTTTGTTGAATAACTTCTTATTCGCATCAACCCAAATCTTCAATTCTTCATCACATTATGTTCTTACTTTATTCAAAATTCTCTCAAATTCGCATGTCTTATCAGATAAAATCTTTTCAGAATTTTCTCTCAAGGTTTTATTCTCACGTTGTAGTTCTTTGATAAATTCTTTATCCGCACAGTTTTTATCGAACATATTAAAATATTTTTCTTTATGATCCTCAATGTTCTTTTCCAGCTCAGCAATCCTCTCTCTCAATTCTATGTCCTCTCTCTCATATGAAACTGCCATTTTCAGAAAGATTGATTTAGGATCAAATGCATTGAAATCGGCTAAAAAGAAATCAAAGACATAGTTAAGCTCAAAAAAATATAACAGAAAAACTGAAAAAAACTGATGGGAAATCTAAAAAACGACGAAAAAACTGTCAAAAGTCAGTAAAAACTGTTAAAAACAGTTAAAACTGACTAAAAACAGTTTACGCGACGAAAAATAGTTCAAAATTTCTCAACACAGTTCAAAAAAAAAATAGATCCAAAATAAAAAACTAAAACAAAAGATTAGACCCAAGAAAATACAAGTCCAAAACAACTGTTTAAGACCAAATCAACAGTAATCTTTACAATTACAGATTAGACAAAATACAATACACTATAGCTTCACTTTTATGTACTCTCTTTACTGTAAGCTTAGACTTGACCAAATTTCTTCCTGTAGCTTGATCACTCCACAACAGGCTTAGTAATCTTCAATCAGCACAACCTGTGATGAAACACCATAAACAAACAGTCCTAAGACAACAAAGACAACAAGTATTGTCAACACAGTAGCAACAGCAACCAAATACAATGGGCCAACAGACAAATGCAACAAACTTGCAAGACAACTAGCTCATAGGACAGCAAAGTAGCTATTCTGAAATGCAGCAGCAACACAAAGAAGATAGTGCCAAAAACAAAACCACAAACACAAAACCATCTGCCAGAAGTACAGACACACAAAAAAACAGCTGCTAATTGATAGTCTCTTGTAGAGACAACAACTATTACAACACACAGCAGCCATATAAAATTCAAGATGATATCATCTGAAGTGTGTCAAAACAGGATGATTATATGCATGAAGATGACTAACTCGAATGAGTAAAACTTGTGTGACTTAACACCTAATTAGGCTAAACTATGTTCTGGCAACACAAAATCAAAGTGTATAATCCAAATGCATTCCAACCATTGAAGCTATCTGCCACCTAGCTCTTTATCACAAATAATCCAAGAGTAACAATTACTACAGCAAACTACTTAATCCTTTGAAATGAGAAAGGACCAAATCAATCAAAATCAACGACTGCAGAGGATGAACTATAAAGGACAAAACTGTGAACAATGACCTGTTGACTCTTTACACCAGAATCAGATTGACAAAGATTTACACACTCAAATTCAAATCAAAACCAAAATGTTTTTGATTTACACAGAAAGCTATTCAAAATGAAGCCAAGACCGACTAATTTCTTCACCAGATACTGCTCACTGTCAAAAGAAACAGGTGTTAGCAATTTCTGTAACTCTTCTCAAAATCAGATGAATCTATAACTAAGTGAAATGGTAGCTAAGAATAGACCAAAATCCGAACAAAAGTGAAATGTAATTGTCCTTTTGACCGAGTCTGAGGGAAGCTATGTATCTGAATAACCTTGTGAGCAAAGATGACCAAAACCTGCAAAACAAGTGTTAAGCAACGAACCAATCTTCTTTGTCAATCCAGGTGAAGAAGATGAACTTGATGTCTGATTAACACGTCTATGGGCAATTTACTTCAAATCCCTTGATTGCGCTTGAGCTGTGATCGATTTAATTACTAAATTGCTTGAGCTATGACCGATGTAGAGACCCTAATCCGCTCAAGCTATCAGCGATTTACTCTTTAAATCGCTCAATCTGCAAGACATGTTTAAAACACTATGCGATTTAGTCCTCCAGATGAAGGGCAAGGACAATGGCAAAGAAGATGATGAGCGATTTAGTAACATCCGCTCAAACCTAGTCCGCTTGAGCATAAATCGCTCACTGCTTGAGCTAATCCGCTCAATGAATCGCACAAACTCCTAATCACTTGAACTAATCCGATCAAAGTCCGGTCACCACTGATTCCTTATCCGATCAACATCGCTCAAGAGGTGTGCGATGTGTTCCCGTATCCACTCAAAGTTGACTAAATCGCTCAAGAAGAGTTTAATCCGATTGAAGGCTGATCGATTTAGAAATCTGATTGGAGATACTCTTGAGCGATTAAGACTTGAGATGAATTCAATTCCTTCTGTGATCGATGAAGGTTATAGGCTTTTGAAGAGATGACCGATTTACCAGTATTTTGAGACTGAAATGAGCGATGAAGATGAGCTTGCAATTTACCAGTATATGGGCTAAACCGGATGGGCCTTGGACTGGGCAAAAACAACAAAAACAAAAAAAATAAACTAAAATGGATCAAAATATTAGATTTTGAAGAAAAAAAATCAAGAACATACAAAAAAATTTAAAACTCAAAATTGATTAAAACCTGAAAAAGAATGATCAAATTATAAAAGTTTGTGAATAACAAAGATTCACAATGTAGTTTTGCACAGATTGGTCATTGTTTTAACACGAAAACACATATTTTTTTAAAAAATCGGATCAAAAACAAGAAAAAGATAAGAACATGAAGAACAAAAAAAAATTTCCAGAAAATTATCTTCAAAAACTTCTGATTTCTTCTTCTGATTTCGTGCACGCACTGCTCTAATACCAATTGTTGTCCCAATATATTGATCAATCTTCTATGATAGCTTCAAATCAACAATGGCAGAATGATATATTCATGTAAGAACATAGAAGGAGTAGAGTGAGAAAAAGTCAAGATCTGAAATCTAGTCAAACTTCAATATACATATTTTGAATTTTACAATGGTGCTCTTACTAAGATTACAAAGAATCACCCTATTTATAGGGTCAAACAAACTAAACAAGGTCAAAGTCAAACAGTCTAAGAAAAGTCAAACACGATGATTTTTATACAATTATAGACAAAATTAACTTTCAAGACGAATACAACTATACACTGAATTTCAGTCTTAACAGAGAGTCTTACCCGGTAAGTGAGGGTGACGACTCTTACCTGGGTAAACGCTTACCAGGTAAATTGTTGCATAAAATACGTTTTGATGTACTACAATCTTACTCGGTAAAATAAATTATAGTGTTGACTCCTTACGGTAAGTGCTTACCGGGTAAGCACTTAGGTATAGGGATGGTGATTTGCCCCGACCCGGTGGGGAACCCGGTTCACCCGACCCGAACGGGGACAGGGATTGCCTGCTAAAACGGGTCCCGGGACCGGGGATCCCCGATAGACTCAAACTGGGGACGGGTCCGGGGACGGGGAATGTTACTCAAAACGGGGCCGGGGTCGGGGATCCCCGGTATAATCAAACTAAAGCATACTTTTTACCGGGTTTTGACTGGGGATTGCTAAAATTTGACCGGGGACGAGATGATAATCCCCGTACCCGCCGGGGACCGGGGCCGGGGCCGGGGGACGGTATTACAAACCGGGGTCGGGGATTACAAAACCCGCCCCATCCCCGCCCCGTTGCCATGCCTACTTAGGTAAACGGCCCCTAACTCTACCTTTAAATAAGATGGACGAAAACCACAAGGGTTATAATGCAGTGGTTAGGGCCCTTGGGGATATGGTGAAATCATATTTGCCCATGGCTCAATTCCAGGCATATATAACAATTGTGACCACTGAGTTTATCAGGGTTGATTTATTGCAGTCATAATTTGTAGGGATTAATCCAGACATAACCTGAGACACTCTCTCAAAAAATAAGGATGATGAATGAAAACAACAGAGTACTGTAAACCATATAGATGAAAAACAATAATAAATCATAAATCATAAATCATAAAGATGAAAACAATAATAAATTATAAGTCCTGAGGATGAAACTTGTAATTTAACAAACATAAGACCAATAATAGTAGTTTTTAACAAACTACGGCGACTAAAGACATGGTAATTAACGAATATGCGAGTAGGGTTGGGTTTTGGGGACAATAAGAGTTAAGATGAGAAGTGTAAAAAGATATCTTCATACTTAGATGTATAATAGGATAAGATGTATCAGACCAATCCTCGTATCAAACGCGATTCATAAATGAATTTAAGATTAAAAGTAATCGAGAGTCCAGATCATTTCTTACGTTTCTTATTTTATTGACGTAAATAAATGGCGTACGCCCAAAGTTTCACACAAATCTGTGTGTGGAGAAAAAGCAGCGCCCAAAGACTCTGACGAATCTGTGAGTAAAAAAAATGTAGTGCCGGTGAACGAATGTGAGTTAAAAAACCCAAAGGCTGAAGGAATCTGTGGGTCTTTTAGAGTCGCAATAATGGCGGTTATTTGTGGATGGTATTTGTATAGGAACCCCACTTTCAATCACTCTCAATTCTTCACACCATGTCTTCTCTCAGGCGATCAGCTCCTTCCATCCACCGCCAAATCCGCTCAATCTCTGTTCCACCGTCTTCATTGATTGCTACATCAGTCAACTCTACTGGCCCCAATTCTCATGACAAAAACCCTAGTTTACTCAGATGGGTTTCCGCCGTCGTCGCTGGTGCCGGCATCGCCGCCTCTGTTTACTGGTATTCTTCTTCTGTATCGTCCACATATACAGTGAAGTCAGCTATGAGTTTTGCTGATCGATTGATGGCAACTGCTGATAGGATCAAGAAATCTTACGAGGGTCAGTCTTTGTCTAGTTCGAATTTCTTCATCAGAGGTAAGCTTTCTGTCGAATTGAATTAGCGTTGTTCTTTATTGGTTTTGTTTTGGAAATTTTCATCTAAACATTCATTATTTGGGGAGAAGTAATGCACCGAAGTTTTTAGGGTTAGGGATTCCTGTCAAGTTTTCAACAATCGAGGGTTGTAGAAACGCGTGTTGTTGGCAAGTGAAACAAGTTGTTGATCATTGATATTCTTTTGTGATTGCCAATACAGATACGTTGCGGAGAAGAATCTTCTTCAACTATGAGAAAAGATTAAGGATGTTAAGTCCTCCTGAGAAGGTACGCAAAAATTTGGTTATTGAAGAAATCGTCAAGTCCTATTCGCTTTCTTACATGATACCTTAATTATATACAGTTTATCATCGATTGAGGCTGTATTTAGAGCCATCTCTCAAGAAAACCATGTTCAAATACCTCTTGCGTGTTAGTCTTGATGGTTGTTTGCTCTCAAGGACCTCATGTATCGTTTAGGGGTACTGTTGCACTATAACGAACATATGGGAATTAAGCTTGATAATCAAGGATTGTGTCTTGTTTTCCATGGCTTTTCTCATAGCTGCTGTAATGAAATGAGAATCTGGACAAATATAATCGGCATCTCTGGAGTTGATATAAACGGGTTTAGTAAGTATTTGAATTATCTTCATATCATCAAATACTTGTAACATGGAAGTTTCTGATGATATTGAACTGTTTTGTGTTTCTCACAGTAATGCTGGAGTTGTTTAGGACTCTTACATCAGTTATCTTTTTCTTTTCCTCCCTAATTTTGTGCCCAGATTTTACTAAGAATAATGCGGTTATTTGGAATATAAATCTGTTTGGCGTTATATATCTTTATGCAATTGTTAAAGAAAACCTGCATCATGTCAATAAGTTTTCAAGAATCCCAGAATTCTATGCCAATACTAAAGAACAAAAATTCACAAAAGATAAATTGCCTTGAACATTGGGGCAACAGAAGAGTTGAGTAACACCTTCCCTTTTGCTTAAGTACTTTTTGTTTGTTGCTTTGTAACTAGTTTTTCTCTTTCCAAACCTTTTGCATGTTTTGTCGCAGGCACAACTGGCCTTGGTTCTAGCATATTTATGGTGGATATGGTTTCAAAGGTCTCGTACATTTTAGTGATGTTCAATTTTGTTATACATTTTGAATTTGTGTTCTGCATGAAAATGTTATACAGAATTTCAATTTCAATTGTCTGAGTTGCAAACTTGTGACGACAATACTTAGAGTAGTAAGATAGCAAGTAGAAATGCTGGTTGGGAGAATAAACAAGTTTTTTGGCTACGAGCTGGTTGGTTTTAAGTTATACTGGTGGTGTACTGTGACAATCTTCCAAGCAAGTGGCAATAAAAGGAAATGTAATCCTCCTACTAGCTATGCAAGAGAGGAGCAAACACATTCGTGAGTAAAGAGCTCTCGCATAAGTTGATGGAACTAGTGGTGTTAAGTTAGCAATCATTAATGGAGCGGACCCTGATTTTGTGGGTTGTATAGGCAACTCTAGGTGATCCATAATCCTATTAAACAACTTGCTTTGTTACCTCAATTGGTCATCTTCTTCATGTGTATGTTGATACAGCTTGAGCTATCAACTCTAATTATTTATAAGATGTTACACTCTTTGCTAGCACCGTATCCTTGAGAACCACCAGATATTCATAAATATTCATAATGCCGAAATTGTCTGCATGAGCTGTTAATACTGCCAAGTGCAGTGGCATTTACATGTAATTAGTTGGAGTTATGGCCTGCATTCACTCTGCTTGTATCTGGGTGAAAGTGAGAAGTTAATGACGAACTCAAATCATAGCCAACTCTAACCAGAATACTGAGGCTTCTATCATTCCAAATTAGTGCTACATTTACCTTTTGCCTCGTAGAACTGCCTCTTCAGGAATTATGGCCCTGATGGATATCCCTGAAGAGTTAACTTCAGTATTACTTTGATGATTTTAGTGTTTCTCTGTTTAAAGCCTTTATTAGCCAACAATGTATATTGCGTTTAAGATGAGCTAAAGTACACAAGATAAGCACTTCCATGATTATTGTACATCTTCTGTAATGACATGCGCAGCGAAACTTTGTTTTTGTAGGTATTTGAATACTTTGCATCGATCAAGAATGCTAGAGGGGAAACTCTTATGACACCAGGAGATTTGATGCGTGCTATTGTCCCGGTGTTCCCTCCATCCGAGTCAGGCCTTGTACGAGACGGATCTCTTAGAGGTGAAAGGCTTCCAGGGGAGTTGCATTGTGCTCCTTCAGAATTTTTCATGCTTTTTGATCTAAACAATGACGGCCTCATTTCATTTAAGGAGTGAGTTATTGCATCTCTCCGAATGTATTCAGGATCTCTACTTGTTTGATTTTCCTTTAACAATCCCTCTGCTTTTACTCTTCTTTATATTTCTCAGAGTACATATTTTGACATTTTACATCTCATGCCATTATTCATATTTTACAAGACATTTTCTCCCAAGGCATTTGTCAGAGTACATATTTTGCAAGACATTTATATCTCATGCCATTATTTGTTACTAATATTCTTCTTCTTCACAGGTATATATTTTTTGTTACGCTACTCAGCATACCAGAGTCCAGCTTTTCTGTGGCTTTTAAAATGTTTGACATTGACAATGATGGGTAAGGCACCTATTGAACTTTTGAACCTTTAATAGTAGTAATTGTTCTAATACATAATTCTCTATGGTAATTTTTTAACTTGGAAGTATGAAGACGTCTACTTGTTGACAAAATATCTTTTTTCCTACCTCCTTGTTTCTCGTCAGCCCTCAACTGAGAATGCATTATCGATGTGGACTACTGTTGAAAATTTTATTAGTTTATGTAAGCCAATCCTTGTGCATTTAAGATTACCAAGTTTTCTCAACGCCTTTAGTTCATCTGAAAAATGCGATAAAATTATTCATGCAATCATCTAGAAGTTGAATATTAGGCATGAATGATTTGATTTAAAGCCATCTTGGTAGCAAAAATCAAATGCCTTGCTTTAGCAGAAACAGAGCCAAAAGTTTGTTTTGTAATGCCGTGTGGACACTTAACGGTTCAAACAAAGTTGCAGTTTGGGAGAGTTATGTAGCTGCAGAATCTAGGAATTGGTTAGAGCTTCCTGTACCGGAGCTTTCCGTGCTAATGTATCTGTATGGAACCACATACATGCATGCATACATTCACACACACACACACACGTTAATGTTATATGGTGATTAATGTGGTCGAGAGCCATTGAGCTTGTTTGGTCACTTTTGTGCTTTTGTATTTGTGCTTCTCCGGTTCTCCCTGTCAGTCCTAGACCTGGAATAAAAACCAGTTGGGCAGCATTTCACAGAACTGTGGATTGGTCTTCCTTGATCAATCTGCTGAAGAATCTTGTAAGATCAAGTGTGTATGGGCATTCTGTTGACTAAGCTCTTACCACTTGGTTTTGTTGTGAGCAAGCCACTAACTCAAGCCTCCTGGAAAGATTAGGAGTTAGGAGCTGATTTCTTCTCACATAATTTGACCCTGGAGGTCCATAGACAATCTGTGTATGAGCATTGCTTAAACCATGTGTTCTTTCTGATCAACTTGATTCTAGTCATTTGTTCCATATGGCTACCTGGGGTACTGTGATGACTGATGAGACTTTTAAATGCCTCTTTGGTTATTAGAAAATTGTGTCTTCTAATGCCAGGTTCCTCTGTTGTGCTACTACAGCCCCAACCCTTAGAGGGCCTGCATGTTTTCTGCTTACGGCCTCGTAGCTGGATCTATGTAGGTTGCTTGATCAGATTTAAGCATATATTATTATAATCTGCATTATAGAGGGGAATGCTTTTAAAACAGAAGATACAAATTGCAGCGTAGATATTCTATTGATGGATTGCGTTTTTCCAAGCTTCTATGGTTCCTAAGGTCAGGAAATAATTTAGAAGATCACTCTATGCCACCGGTTTTGGCACATATGTGCTACAAGTTCTATTAACAAGAAGATTATTAAATAGGCATAAATGTAGAAAAGCAATCCACTGAATAGAATCCTTCCTAAGCAGCTAAAAGTTGGTGAATGTATCTGCAACATTGTAATCGTTTATCATTGAGATTAGTAGGTCGTGGTGAATTAGCATCATTGATAGTAGGCATTATTATGCTTATATTAAAAGATAGCAACCTTCCGTTGAATGATTTAATAGAATGTGATTAAATTAAAGCTGTTCATTTGTTCATCTTGTAAATTCTCTTGCTGAATATGGATGTTGATAAGCATCCTAAAATAGGTTGAGCCTTGTGTATGTTTGTGATGTAATCTGAAACCTCGTGCTTTAAGCTATAAATTTATTTTCTTCTCTTATGCTGCGCAGTTGTTTAGGTTGCATTACTTAGAAATACATGTTTCTCTTCTATTAAACCTTGTCTCAATCCTCAGAGAGATAGATAGAGAAGAATTTAAGAAAGTGATGGCCTTGATGCGCGGTCATAATAGACAAGGGGCTCTCCAGAAGGGTGGACGCCGCACTGGACTTAAAGTCAATGGTCACGTAGAAAATGGGGGACTGGTGCACTACTTTTTTGGTGAAGATGGCCACAAGGGCCTGCGACATGATAAATTTGTTCAGTTTTTGCGGGATCTCCACGATGAGGTATGTAGTTAGATCATTATTATTTTTAAGAAAAATGAATCATTCAATACGTTTCAGTTCACAATATTGTTCCTGTGCAGATGATATGGTTGGAGTTTTCTCATTATGATTATAAATCAAGAGGAACAATATCAGCCAAGGATTTCGTGTTGTCAATGGTTGCTTCTGGTGATATACGGCATATGAACAGGTTGCTTGACCGTGTGGATGAGTTAGATAACGAGCCTCATCTTAAGGAGATACGCATTACATTTGAGGAGTTCAAAAACTTTGCACGACTACGGAAAAAATTACAGCCCTTTTCTCTAGCCCTTTTTAGCTATGGGAAAGTGAATGGATTTTTGACCAGGAAGGATTTTCAACGAGCAGCTTCTCAAGTAAGGAATTTGATCATTTATTTGATGGAATTCATAGATAGAAATGGAATTCATAAATCTTTGTAACAGCATGTATATGAAATATTCAAGTTTGAGTTGGATTTTATAAAATGCAGGTATGTGACGTGGAGCTGAGCAACAACGTAATCGAACTGATTTTTCATCTATTTGATGCAAATCAAGACGGAAATTTGTGCTCAGATGAGTTCTTACGAGTAATGCATAGACGAGAAAGAGAAACAGCTCAAGTCACCCAGTCGGGAATCATGAATACATTCTAAGCAACCGCTCCATATAGAGAGGTATATACACAAACAAGAGACAGAGGAGGATTTGCTGACTTTTTCGGCTTTAGGAAACGAAAATTTGGCAGTGATTGTTACTTGTGTTGATGTGAAATGTATAGTCACATAATATGCATGTTACTGTGTATAGCTATATTGTGTTTTTGCAATGGATCATGTAGTTTGTTACCAAACTAGATTGTAAGTGGCAGTTTGACATGACAAGCTAGAGTTCAAAAATGGTTTGTGCTTAAACTATGAATTAATAAATACAACATGCAAATGCAAATTAAACAGTGTCATGGTGAACAACTCTATAATCAATAAATTGAAAATTTAGTAGCAAGTGTGGAGATCACTTTGTTAGCGAAAATTTATACAGCATTTCCAATTTTTCATGTTTGGCGAAGCCAAGTCAATTTCGGACCATCAAGCCCTGCGATTGTTGAAAAAGAAGGCTTTGTTTTCTTATGACTGCCGTCCATCTTCGAGAGATATCGTTTTTCAGGTCATGCCGTTGTTACCTGTAGGTCGTGATGTGTCTTGAGATGGCTGCATAACATATGTTAATATTTCTAATTCCGGAAGAGAACCAAATAACCCATCCAAACCATTAATTGATATTATCTACAGACCGACATCTATTTTGATATATTTTTTTCATCCAATTTTTCATGGTTTTTTAGTTTTTTATTGAGATTCTCTCCTAGTCTAATTTGTCAGCTTCAAAGGACAAGACAATCAATTTACTAGATGTGCAAGAAGAACAGTATCATATGTGATCTACAACAAATCAAAAAGGATTGCATTGACGGAAAAAATAGAAAAATTAAGAATGAAATTATGGATGAAGAAAACCGGGAGAAAAGAAGACTTGAGAACATTATTTATTTAGTTGGAACATCAATAACAAACCAATACATATCCATTCAACAAATTTGTGATAGAAAACTATCCGTCTGTTTGATAGTTGCTGAATGGTTTGATGCTGTATAGTTAAGTGGTTAGAATAATTAAGAGGTTCTATATGATATAGCGCAAAATGAAATACAGTTGTTTGATAGTTGTTATGAACGGACAGTCTGAATGACCACAAATTACCATCTTAATCCTCTCTATGATTTACTTTTGAATGAAATATAGTTGTTTGATAAATATCTAAATAAAACAACTACATTTCAATAAAAGCTAGACAAACCTCAAGTCTCGTTTATAAACGTAACAACCAACTAGAAACAAACAAACACTATATTCGAACGATTTCATCATTGAAATATAGGAACACAAAAACACATGGTTACAAAGGATCACCACAAACCAAAATCCATTTATAATTCATAAGAAATAACATCTAATCAACTAGCCAAACACTTAGCTATTGCTTCTCGTTTGTCGATGCTTTATCATCGACCATATGTTTCGTAGAATATTCTCCGAGGGCAATCGGTCGTTTATTTGCAAATATCGTCCACATAAACATACTGATAAAGCTTCTGTTGATCCTCTCTCTCAGTGATTTGATGATAATCCCTTTTTCCTTTCGATGTATTTTGTTTCTGTACTTTCAGTTCCAGCGATCAATACACTGAGCATGTTCAGTGAT